TGTATTTTATAGATCCTTCATAATTTAACACCATCAGGACACAAGCTGACCCTTGTCCAGTAAAAGCTGCAGACTTTATAACACATGCAGATAAATTAAAGTTGCAAGTTGAGCATCAAACCTGCAGATTTGCAGCTTGCTGCTGACCACGTGACTCGTCAGCTTCATGGTGAAAGTGCAGACTGAATGTTGCTCTGTCATTCTAAACTAATGAAGGCCTTAACTGGAGGCCCCAGAGGGGTTGTCTCATCGTTCCAGCACGCATCCCTTAAAAATACCCACTGGTTTGTGCAGCGGAAGTTTTTAAGCTTCCTTATCTGACGCTTTATCTGAGCTGGAGATGCTGCAGAGGGGCCCGCTGCAAGGGCTCTAGGATGTGAAACACATGCCAGGCCTGTCATGTTCCATTTACAGTTGACACAACAAATTAGTGCTCAGGAGATTTCAGCTTGTCCACTTCGTGATTTAAATGCGCAATATGCAACAAAGCACGGACGAAGCACTGATCTCACGCGTAAAGATGGGTCGGCGCAGACTCTCCATGCAGCTGAGGAGTTTAGAGTCATTCATCTGCTGCGCAAACCTTTAAACTATAAACACCATCACAGGCTCGGAGACTGTGGGTGGTGGTGTGTGTGTGTGTGGTGGTGGTGGGGGTGGCCATTACCCCCGCGGCTGCGCTAAACTACTGAAGATAAAACAAACGATAACGTTGCCTGTCTCCTGAAGCAGTCTCCACAAGCACTAACGGCGAGTTTAACAACGGAGGAGGAAAGCGCGCGGTTATTATTATTTTTTGCGTCATTACGCGCCAGCTGAGTTCACTGCAGTTGTTTTAAAACTTAGCAGGTTTTCATTTATCAGGAACATTCGTTTTACAATTTTAACAGAATTGGCAACATTGAAAAAGTTGGGATTTTTGACTGATAAAGAGATAAAACGTGTCATTTGTGTGTGTGTGTGTGTGCGCGCGCGCGTGCGCGTGTGTGAGGATCTGTAATCACATCCTGATAAGGCAGACAGCGGCACCAGAGTCTCTTGGAGGCAGACAGCAGAGTGTTGCTCCTGGTTTCAGGTTCCGTGTTCAGGGACTCAACCTGTTGTTAGATTCCTCCTGACGCTCGTCTGCTCTGTTTCCCCTCGGATGGGGACGTCCCGACGCCCAGATAGACTTATCAGACACATTAACCCCCATTAGTTCCTCCCATTGGTCTAAAAACACATTTCGTCCATGGGGTCGATGAATACTGTTGCGTAAACGTGCGTAAAACCGCTAGAGTGGAGCGTGGACGGGCCTGTGTGGTGCGTAATGACCAAAACTATCAAAAATGCTCATGAATCAAAGATAAAAAAAAGAACATTTAAACTAGCGAAAGAGGCCAAATTCTGATTTTCTTTAACTTGATTCTAACGACTGGAGAAGACGTGTATCACTTCACGTGATTAAATCAAAGCTCTACCAGCGGTCCCCCACCCCCCCTTCATCCTCCTCCTCCTCTCCCTCCATGCGTCACCAGGAGAGAGAGTGAGGCCAAAGGTTTGGAGACGGAGTTGACATTCAAAATGCTTCACTCAAGATCCGCGTGGTTCATCAAACTAATAGTTGATTTCAGTAAATATTAGCAGGAAGGAAGGAGCGTTTGTTGACATCTTTTGTTGCCTCCACATGACAGATTCATAGTTTTTATTACAATGTTTCCCAGCCCAGGCACGTCCACTCCCTTCTCCGTCAAGGATATATTAAACTTGGAGCAGAACCACGACGTCATGGTGTCTTCTCTGGACATTTCCCCTCGCATGGACTGCTCCTCTTCCTCCTGCATGATGGCCCGTCTGAAGCAGGAGCCTCGCCGGGCCGCCGCCTCTCTGCTGCCCGGCGGAGGCAGCTTTGCTTCTGCCTTTTATGGTAAATCTCTGATGGGAATGGAATCGGAGCGGAGTGGGAAATTAGACGTGTTTGAGGAGAAACGAAGGAAAGGTGAGTGTGACGATAAAAACTAAAATACTTTGCCTGGTTTCAATTTAGGCCTGGAGGCCTCGTGAAGCAACGCAACGGATGCGCCAAAAACAACTAATTAGCACTAAAATGGGTGGGAAGTTAGTTTAAAAATAAAGTTTAATAAACAAGTTTAATGTTAGATGTATGAATGTAGAACCTGACTTGTGCGTCAACAGGCGAGGGAACCGGAAATCACCGTTTTATTAATAAAACTAAAGTTCTGGGGTTACATGCGAGTGTGTCCTCCTAAGTGTCCTTTCTCTGGCTGACAGATGATTTCAGTGCGCCAGCTGAACTCGTGGAGGACCTAAAGACCGAGGATCTGGAGCGACCCAAACCGCCGCGCCGACGCAGGAAGCCGCGCGTGCTCTTCTCCCAGGCGCAGGTGTACGAGCTGGAGCGCCGCTTCAAGCAGCAACGGTACCTGTCCGCCCCGGAGAGAGACCACCTGGCCGGCGTGCTCAAACTCACCCCGACCCAGGTGAAGATCTGGTTCCAGAACCGGAGGTACAAATGCAAGCGGCAGCGGCAGGACCAGAGCCTGGAGATGGTGTCCCTGCCGCCGGCCCGGAGGGTGTCGGTCCCCGTGCTGGTGCGGGACGGGAAGCCCTGCATGGCGGACTCGGCCGCCTACAACCCCCCCTACAGCGTGGGCTCCATCAACCACTTCCCCTACAACAACTACCCCACTGCCCTCAGCAGCTACCCCAGCCCCGGCTGCAGCACTAGCTACACCTACCCCGGGGCCAGCATGCAGGGGCCCGCCGGTAACGGGAACTACATGAACCTTGGGGACTTGAACAACGTCCAGAGCACGTTTTCTCCCGGTAACGGGATGTCTTCGCTCCACGGCATTAGGACATGGTAAACAAAAACCCAACCACTCCTTTAGGATTTAGGTCTGCATGCTGGTGATTGTCTTGTTTATTTTCAGCACTAGATGATTTCTGTCATTTAAACTTTGATTGTGTCGTTTTTTTTCCTGCTAACGTGACAATAAAATAATAAACAAGTTAAACCAGTTTAAGGAAAAGGTTTTTGTAAATGAGTCGGTTATAACTCAGGTGAAAGTGTTAGAACTATGAATAAAACAAGATTAGTTTTAGAAAATGTTTTCCTGTTTTGATCAGAGCGTAAGACATCAAATGGGCCTCACCAAATGTTGGACGTTTAAAAGGTTAAGCACAACGCTGGTGGCAGCAGGTCCTAGCTGAGACCCAACATGGTTTGTGTCGGACTAAAACGCTCAAGTGGCTTTCAGGAGGCTTCCATCATTTCTGGTTAAACAAGTGAAAAGGCTGTTAAAGTTTTTACAGCCGGCTGTCAGACATGAGGGAGGAGAGGAGCTCAGCCGTGACCTTGACTCCTTTTCAGTGTTTCTCACACGATTGAGTCAGAAATCGGAGTTAAAATGTAAAAACATGAACTTATAATGCACTCAGCTGATTTTATAACTTTTTATTCCTGTGTTCCATGTGTGTTCTAACTAACCATCACTAAATAGTTGTCATATTTCAGTGAACATAAGTAGATCAGCTTTCATTTAAGCTCAGTCCAACAGATTTGCCCCTTAAAGGTGAGGCTGAAGCAGCCCGCGCTCTCAGACCTCTCCTGCCTACTTGTTGACACAAACTGAAACACTCCATTATCAATATGTGAGTGCTAAATGTAAGAACGGTGTCCTTTACTGGACAGAGAGCTCCTGTTAGACCAACAGGCTAAAAGGACCAGCTCTGCCCAAACGCCACCACTTTACACGAGGAGGAGATGCTTGTGCATCTCTCAGGTCTCTTCAGATCCTCTCCCGTCCATCTCCGGGTTCCAAACACTCCTCGCAGATGTAAATCAGGTGGAAACATCTGCAGACGGCTGTGTTTATTAGAAATGAGAGGAAGTAAAAGGTAAAAGGCAGCAGAGAGAGGGAAGCAAGGTCATGTGGCTCCTCTGCCCCAACCTTCCTTGATGGTGTTGAAAGCTAACGTCAGATAACGGCGCCACACACGCCTAAAAATATCCCCCCCCCCCACCCCCCACCCACACTGGAAAGAGAGAGAGGGGAAACGGGGATAATCTGCTTATCTGAAGAAAGGCAGGGATGCATGCGGCTCTATCTCCAGCAGGGCGGAGGTTCTCTGCGCCGCAGCTGCAGGACTAGCGGGGCCTTCTCTGCACTGGAGCTACAGTAACACACAGCATCTGAACTTGATATGTTTAATATTCTCGTCCTTCAACAGCTTTAAGGCCATTTTCAGCAGTAATAAATAATCCAATAACAGTTTATATTTCATCAGCCTTTACAAAAACAACTGCACAGGGATCACTTATTGTTTAGTTACATACGACGTTTGTATGAAAATATTCAGTCCTGGATTATGTTCCCTAAAATACAACAAGCTGTCATTAGATAAGACTTTTTAATTAATAGGGTCAATATGAATAAATCATAAAGTAAAAATAGATCATCAAACTAGCAGGCTGACACGAAAAACCCGGCTCGTGTTCCTTTCTCTCCTGAATGCCTTCCACAAATGCAGCGTGTGGACATTCTTTTCCTTTTCCCACAACAATTACTGTCATGACTGGCATCAGGACACGAAGGTGCTTCACCTGATCTACAGGAATGGGAAGAGTCTCTTCTTCAGGATGTAGAGAACTGTTGCGAAGAAGAGCGCCAAGGCCAGGAAGATGAGCAGTTTGTCGGTGAGCTCCCTGCGGTTGTACTTGGTGATGAGTTTCCTCCCCAGATGAATGGTTCCCGTCATGGTCTTGAACTCCTCGTTTGTCTCCTGGATTGTTCTTGATGAGGTTGCTTCAAACAGAAGGACAGACTGTTGTTCACACAGAGGTTCAGGGTGGAGTTGTGCACACAGGTTAGTACAGCACTCACTTCTTCCACGTTAGCGCTAGGGCTGGGCGATGAAAGCAACATATATGTCGAAATGACTTTCCTCAATCAGGTCAATAGAACCTTGCTATAACCTTGATCAGATGAACAGCCAACCGTGTTGCTCCACGCTGGACCAATCAGTGGCTGGAATAGAGCCACATGGCTCAGTAGCAGCCAGACGGACGTGAAGCTAATGGCTAATGTTCATGTAGCTTTAACCTCTGGGAAACGGGTGAAAATAGAAAACACAAGGCAAAGAAAAGCGAATGACGTCGTTGACATTAAAGGTGCAGTGTGTAAGACTATAGTGAACATTTTACAATGAGAAAATCCCAAAACAGTAATGTTTCAGCCATTTTGGAAGGACGGTTTTACTGAAACATGTTTCATGTCCAGCTGGCTGCTGGGTTGTCGGTTTTTCACCTTTCAGAACAAAGGAAGGAGGGACGTAACTACTGTTTACCATCAGTGAGTGATGGGGTGCTTGGATTGGGGGGTTAAACCCTAGACATTTATACGTAGATGCTCCGTGGACTGGCGCTGCCTATTGGAGCTGCCGTAGTGGCCAGCCGCCATCTTAGATGGGTCTCCATCTCCAGCGCTTTTATATCTGCTGAGGAAGGTGCTTACCCATCTAAAAGTAGCGAAAGGGGACCGAATTCGGTACTTTTTAAGGTCCCGACCGAATTCCACAGTACCGACTGAGCACCGATTCACGTCATTTCAAACGGTGCCTCGTTTCGGTACCCGTCCTTCATAACGAGAACTTGCCTAGACAGCTGCGCATGCGCAAGAGCGTGAAGTCATCGGTCGCTGCGAGCCAGTTGTAAACAGAGCAGCATGGTAGAAAGAACGAACGCTAAAGCTTGGGTCGACTTCACTAAATGTGATGGGTAACTGGGTGATGATGAAACCAGCGACAACGATCTAAGTGAGACATCCTCATCTTAATCTGCTACGGTAGGTAAATAAAATGTTTAAGATAACGTTAGCTTGATATGTTAGCTTCCGTTTCACTAATGGTGCGCTCGCTTTCTCCTCCGAACTTGCGACTAGATGAACATGAACGCGCTCTAAAGTTTGGCTTCACTTTACTAAATGCTACAGGTGACTGGGTGAAGATGAAACCAGCGACAATATCTAAGTGTGAGGCATCATCGTTTTAATCTGCTCCAGCAGCTAAATAAACTGTTTAAGATAACGTTAGCTTGATAAATTAGCTTCCATTGCCACCATTGTTATCAGCTAATGGTGCGTTCGCTTTCTCCTCAGAAATTCTAACTTCCCAGTAGGACAAATCAAATGAAAAAAGACGGCAAAAGGAATGAAGATACACAGTAAATTTAGTTCACAGTGTTTGCTTCAGTTTAATTATCAGCTTATAAAACTAAAAGGACGATGTTAAAATACAAACAGTTGAATGTTCTTTATCGTGATATTTACCAAATATGGTTATATATTGAGAAAAATATATATTTAATTATAAAAGAGAATTAAAATATTAAACACTCAAAAGTATCTAAAATTGGTACCGTTAAGTACCGGTATCGATTCCTAGGTACCGGGAATTAGTACTGGATCGATTCAAATGCCAAAGGTACCCATCCCTATCTAAAAGACACATTTTATCGAGCTTTTTCACAAAATCAGACACAAGGTATAGCATTATAATTCAAATATTAAAGTAATTAAACGACATAACTAAAAATACATTTTAAAATAAAATCCTATCAGGTAGGCTAGTAATCCCACGTGATCGGTTTTCAAATGTACGCCGGTTGTTGTAGCCGTAGGCTGCATGAAACAAGTAGTTGCTCACTCTGCAATGACTTTGGAGAGTGATGAGACCCATCTAATATGGCGGTGACGCTGCTACGCTCTCCAGTGCCCAATGGGGCATCTACTTATTCATGTCTATGCGTTAAACCACCAAATGGTTCCCGAGCGCGGCCGGATCTGCAGCTCACCGCTCCCACATGGGATGAGTCAAACGCCAAGAGTAAACACCACACACTGCACTGCAGACTGTCCTTACAGACATTAGTAAAGGGAATGGAGTGTGCATGTACATCAGGGTTGGGCGATGGGACGAATTATTCGACCATGGATGGTTCAGCGATTGTTTTTACGAGAGGAATTTTGTTTATTCTCTTGTTTGTCCATGAGTGAGTATGAAACATGTGCGCTGTGCTTCCATTTAAAAAACATCCAGGTCTGGACTTCTTCTGTGTTCGTATATCAGTCCGTGCCACACCACTAGTTGATCAGGCTGGAAAATAACGATAATTCATCTATCTAAGCATCGTTTTAGTGTACACACTCCCCTACGACACTACTGGACAGGACTAATTCATTATTATGCAGCAGGTTGAGGAAGTTCACTACAACATAGATATCTATTTTCTATTGCAGATACGCTGTATTATCTCTTTTATTTGTCAGTATTGGCATGTTTGTGTTCAAGACAAGGCTGAATTTTATTTGACTCCCACGGGAGAAACTTGTATCAATTATAAAAAATGTCAAAAATCCTAAAGACAATGTTTAAATAATACAACAGATCTGCTATCAATGCTAATAGTGTGTGTGTGTGTGTGTGTGTGTGTGTGTGTGTGTGTGTGTGTGTGTGTGTGCGTGCGTGTGTGTGTGTGTGTGTGTGTGTGTGTCTGCTCTGTCTTCTTGATCCCGAGTGAGTCGTGGAGGATGGCTGCTTATACTGAGCCAGGATTCTCTGGAGGTTTCTTCCTGTTAAAAGGGAGTTTTCCTCTCCACTGTCGCTTTATGCTTGCTTAGTATGAGGATTGCTGTAAAGTCACTGACTAGTGTCAGTGACTCAATGTAATTTGCTGGGTTCCTTATATAGGAAACATTATTCCTGATTGGCTTAATGAACTGACCTGGATTGGAATGTTTATAATGTGAAGTGCCTTGAGACGACTCTTGTCGTGATTTGGCGCTATATAAATAAACTTGAATTAAAGACCATGTCTATAATTGAGGTCTCAGTTTCAGCTAAAATAACCTTGATTTTCATTCATGTCATAATCGAGGAGTCCTGCATTCAGATAATATTTAATAGGGATGCACCACAAATTATTTGACCCATTAAATAAGAATTGCAGTGGGAAAACAGCTGTGTCACGTGATTGGTGTTATAATACTAGACGAGAATCTGACACTGTAGAAGGGATTTTGTGTTTTTTGTAATTGCAATGTGTACTCTTCCCTTTCTATGATGGCTTTAATCGTGTTTAATTCTTCTATATTATTTCTAATTTAATTCGATTAAAGTGCACTGACAGGAGAGCCTTCTAGAGCTATGCTGTGATTTAGGACCCATTGTGGAGTGAAAGGCAAACAGCCCGACTCCGATTCCAGTTCATATTCTATTTTACAACTACGAGAAGAACCTCCTCTGATCCCTGATCACACGTGTTGTCAAGGTAACCAGACTGAATGACAGCTCAGAAAAGGCTGCACTCAGACATTTCCAAATGAAACTCCAACCAGAACGACTCCTTAAATGTAAAACGTAAGAGACAACCCATTACTCCACGACTGATCGTATTAAAGTTTTGTTTTTTCTGACGGAGACCACTCCTCTGTCCTGACCACGTTTATAACCTCTGCAACTTTTTTGGTTCTCCTGCGCTTCGGCAGCCAGTGTGTTGATCTCCTAACAAAGTTTTATTTCTTTTTATGGGTAGAACGCAGGGAATCTCCTCATGTGCTGAGGACGTAGCACGATTAAATATGGGTAATTGAGGGAGTTTCTGTATGTAAATGACTGAGAACAGACACGAGCGCCTGGGTACGCACAGGTGGAATTAATCATCAGACGGCTGCAGAGGAAGGTGCGTACGAGAGGCCACCGCATGTTTCACAAACCAGGATTTAGACCGTTTGTACGAACATTCTAGGAAGGAATTTAGGAATATTTCTACTGTAGCGTGGCCGAGGCCAGGTATTTCATCAAATGGCCGAACGTTAACTTTCTGTAACATACAGGTCGTGCTAACCTGACACTGGGAGGTCAATTATGAATATCTCTTAACTTGTGCATCATTCATATTCAAAGACACTAAACAAGCTTCACACACATGATCCAAAGCTTATTTCACTGTGTTCAGAACATGGTGGGTGTGGAAAGGATGGTAAAAACACCAGTAATAAGTTTTAAGAAAAGTCTTTTTCCAGCCCTCTGGAAAAAGGCAAAAGTAATTCCATTAATCAAAAAGAACAGAGAACCACTGTCTGGTAAAAATAGTCGGCCAATAAGTTTGTTACATTAAGCAAACTTTTGGAAAGAGTAGCATATGAACAAATACAAGAATATTTTATAACTAATAGATTAAACACAATTTATCAACATGCATATAAGACGGGTCACTCCACTACTACTGCACTTGCTCATATTACTGATCATTGGTTAGAAGAAATAGATGATAAAAAGTTAGTTGGTACTATATTTTTAGATTTGAGTGCAACTCTTGATGTGATTGATCATAAAATCTTATTAAATAAATTAGAACGTTATAGATTTCAGTCGTCCGCCATTAAGTGGACAGAAAGTTATTTAACGAATCGCAAATTCAACTTCTATTTTAATGGCAGTTATTCTGAAACAGGTCAGTTAGATTGTGGAGTGCCACAGGGCAGTTGTTTGGGCCCTCTTTTGTTTTCTATTTTTATTAATGACTTACCTTTGATTTTAAAACATGCAACCATGGCTACATATGCAGATGACACTACATTATTTGCATCAGCAAAAACAGAAGGCCAATTAAATGATATTTTGAAAAAGGAGTTGGATTTAGTTACACAATGGATTAGAATGAACAAACTAGAAATCAATGCAGAAAAAAACTAAATGCATGATAGTTGGAAATACATATACACTACAGATGACACCTAGACTGCATTTGAAGCTGGGTAATATAGAGATAAAGCAGGTAGAAGAAGCAAGATTGTTGGGGTAATTGTGGATTCTAGATTGTCATGGACCAGTCACATAAATCATGTCTTGCTGAAACTTGGAAGAAGTATGGGCACAATCAAATATTGTTGTAAATTTATTCCTCGTTTGCAGATAAAAACTTTAGTTCAAACATTAGTAATGTCTCGTTTAGATTATGCATCAGTTATTTGGTCTAATACAAGTGAATTGAATTTATATAAGTTACAAGTGGCACAAAATAAAGCTGCCACGAATTGTTCTGGGTTGTAATTATAGAACAAATGTAAGTATGATGGCCTGGTTAACAGTGAAATGTAGATTAAAGTATTCACTGATAACATTTATAAGAAACATAATAACTACAAAAATACCTAAAATAATTTATGACAAGTTATATTTTTTTTTCGGACAATCATGATTACATGCCGAGACAGACAAATGACATAAGGTGAGCACTACCGCGCTGCAGAACTAATCAAAGGCAAAGAGCAGTTTATTACAGAGCCATGGTTGCATGAAATGCCATACCGAGATTTTTGTTATTAGAGAATAACAGAAGATGTTTTCAAAAGTAGTTAAAGCTTTTTTTGTTAACACAACAGTAAGTTTTGCACAGTGAATTGTAAACGTGACTGATATGACAGCTTCTATAGTTTTTGTTTGTTATGGAAGTGATGTGATATGATTCTTGATTCTTGGATATAGTTATTTATTGCTCTGTGTAAACTTCGTATTTACTTATTTAGATTTTTCATGAACGCTGAATTGTGTGGTAACTTACCGGTATATCATTATTGCAGTTGGGCTAGTATGATTATAATGGAGCTCCTGGGGTTTGTTGTTGTTGTTGTGTGTGTGTGGGGGGGGGGTCTTGTAAAATACTTGTAATGAAATTGGAAGAGACCTCAGGAAGAATAGCTCCACACTATGGTGGGAGCTAATGAGGTTCTCAATAAATAAACAAATTAAGATAAATAAACAAATAAACAGCGACAGACTTAGCAGGAATTTAAAAGAGGAAAAGCCAAAGCCAGGTAGACGCGGTGGATCTGAAACTGAACGTAAACGTGCATCACATGATTGATGTGAATGTTCCAGCGATGGTAATAAAACAGCATTCCTAAAAGATGAAAACTTTACTTTTTGAATCAGTAAGAATGTAAGAGCGGAGCGAGGCAAAACGAAAACGGGCTTCACCTGATGGTTGTGGGTTTTCAGTGATTCAGCCGAGAACCAAAAATGCACTTTAAGGTCATTTTTGGTGCATCCCTAATGTTTACTTTCCTTTCTACTGAAGGGATGCGTTTCTCCTGCATGTAGACGTTTCAGTTAAACTGTGAGAGTAAACAGTACTGCAAACACATCACCACCCACCTTCTTCAATACAAAGCACAGAAGAAACATATTCAATGTAAATCAAACATAATAATAATTATATTATAGGGATAAAATGAGTCTCTGTTTCTGACTAACCTAGTGTTGTTATGGTCTCCTCACTCTGCTGAACTTGCTGGGCCATCATCCGACTGATGCTCATGAGGTTTTCGGTGATGCCACTGGTTGTTTGGGCCAGATCCCCTTTGGTCGTCTTCCTAACACACAGGTAGGACTGCTGGTTAAACTGAACACTTTCTAAAGCAGGTGATGAAACAACAAACTGTCCTGAACAGGAACTGAAAAGACAGCTTTGTGTTATTTTAAAGATAAAGCTGCAGGCTGCCAGCTCACCTCTGCCTCACAGCGCTATCTGACCCATTAAGTAGGGCCTGCTTCTCCTGCCTGTCGATGGACATTTTACTGGCCAGATTAGCTTTCCTCCAGGCTGTCTGGTTGCTGCACAACAAACAAACCGAAGAAGAAAAAAGCGTTTTCATCAACAAGGTGTTACACATGCATAAGCAGCAGTACTAAATCATTAAAAATAAAAGTACCTTATCATCTGTTTCCTGTGTCCCTCGACCTGCCTCAGCAGAACGTGCTTGTCTGATTCTCTATCCTGCTCCATGGCCATCCGCTCCAAGTCCTGGCACCAAACAGGAACCAAACTAACTCAAAAGACCAAATCTCTTCATGCAGAAAATCAGTGACAATAGCAAAATCATGCAGAATGGTTCTCACCTGAATCCTTACTCTGAGGCTGTGAAAATGCTTTTTCACATCCGTGTTGATGTCTGCCAGCTTGTTCTGAGGGCCGGTGCACTCTCTGATATCCTGTTGAGAGTTTAATGGGATCGACAACATGTTGAACACAACAGCGAGTGCTGCTCTCTCAAACAAACCACATCTGAATGATTCACCTCAAAAAGCAGCTCTAGGAAAATTGAATAAATGTTAAATTTAATGATTATCCAGCGAATAACTATGTTGTCTTCAGTTTTCTTCTTGTTGGGCCACAAACTGTTTTTATGTTTTCCCCCATTACAGCAAAAATGAATAAAGCCTCATGAATATCAAGACAAATACATTTAATCACAACTAATTAAATGTTTTCTGCAACGTTTTAAATAAGCTCAACATATTATGATTTTGGGATGTACAACCATTCTTCAGATCCTCATATTTTATTACAACAATAACAAAATCAAACTGAGGGATGTAAGTAAAACACATCACCACAAACACCATGCACAGTTTGGAAGCACTTATATATTTTACTGTAGAGGTAAGATTATCAAAGGAACATACCAATTTTCTTTCATTAAAGAGCAAGTCACTCCAAATCAACATTTTTTTTTCCTGATAAACTATATAAACTATATATGATCGTGCTGCAGACACGTGTAGTCAATAATTCGGCACTTTAGTGCATCTTAGTTAAAATTTAAATATTCTGCCCAAAACTGTCAGTGTTGCACCGTCGTCAGGTAAAAACTCAGCACTGCATTTGAATTTAAATCTGCCATCGCTATTGGCTAAGAAGTACACCATGATGTTAGATGGTACATTATGATGTCACAATGTCGTGAGCGTGTGTATTTGTTAGCGGCTCCGCCCTCTCGGTCTGCTAGGCAACAGCATTTGTTGCATTTTTCAAACAGGAAGTGGGAGTTGAGTAAGAATCTGGTAGGGGGTGACTTGCTCTTTAAATGGACTGAATGACGTTTGGATGCTCAAAGAAATATTTCACTATTTTAATGGAAATCCAGTGTTTAAAAAGAAAGGAGAAAAAACAAGTAATGCAGTTGATTGTTTTTAAAATGACCTCAAAACTGACCTGATCGTGTAACTTAACGGTTATGACGTCAGCAGCTCGTACACAGGCGATGAGCTAAACTTTACTTAGTATTTTCTTTTCAGAACTTTACATTCTATTTTTGTTACGTTTACAAAAACAAACGTTAGTTTTTCCTCACGCACCCGTAGTTCCTTTATTTACAGGTTACGTCGTTTACATCTTACGTCATTACGCTTAATAAAATTGATGGCTAGCGTTTCCTTTTCTAGCGTGAATTTTGTTACTTTTGAAATTCGTGTCAAAATGACCATGAAGGCCACAGAAGCACAGTCACCAGTTCCGTTAGGAATAACCTAGACTGTATGTACAGTCTATGGGAATAACACGAGTTTCAACAACCGGTACTTCTGACCTCAACGTGGCTTCATGACTAAAGCTCGGTGGCTTCATGACAAATGTCGACGTCGGCACGTCCAATCGGACCACTGCGTAGTCTTACCATAAAAAGGTTCGCACCTGGATGAGAGCCTTGATTTCCAAGTCATATTTGAGGATTTCTTGCTCACAAACTCGGACGTGAACATCTGCGGACGCCATACTGCGGACGTAGCTGGTGTTGCACAGAATTTCGTGGCCAGTGTATGTAATGACTCGACAAAACTACGGAAAGCGAGAAGCAGGATTTGAACTTAAAAGTCGGCACTGTAAGAGCAGCCTGTTATGAAGCCGTGCATAACTAACACATGTATAATTAGATATTTGAATGCAAATTCATTAGTCTGAAACACGTTTGTCCTGTTATGGGAAATCAATTTACTTAGAAATGTCCATTCAGCAGCTACTCTGGGCCCTAAAGCAAAAGAAACATTCAGTGAGTGTAGCAGATAAATTTAATAATTAACAGAGCTTATTACATCCATCAACAGACAAAAACATAAGCACATTAACTGTTTATCTAAATATCATACATACTGACAATATCAAACACAATATACATACAAAGCAAGTGAAGTTTGCTTCAATTTAAGCTACAGACAAATCCAGTGACATTTCACAGCCCTCTGGATAATCATTTAGAACAAGGCACTAGTGTAGGTTTACTCGAGAGGCAATCACACCAGGGTCTGAGCTTCTGATGAGTTCAGTAGGAATGATCTTTGTGGGGAAAATGTGCTCCAACACAGCTGTGTCAGACCATCTGATGCCAAGAGAAACTAAAACAAACAGTTTACAAACACAATAAATCTGTTATCACATGATTTATTTAAATCTGCAAATATCTGCTGATTGATTAACCTTAATATTTTGGTCAAAAGTAAAGTACCTGCAGGAAAATGGGTCAAAGAGGGAAAGCTTAAGGCCAGTGATGTTGCAGGTACCAGATGGTATCATTATGCAGGGATGGTCCAAACAGTGGATTCAGTTGGGCGAGTATTGCAATCAACCAGCTGAAAGGTGAGAGGATAAAGATTGTAAACACAAACAAAATGCCACACATCAGACTTTATTTATGTATTTATTTATTCATAAGACGTTGCCGATCCCACAGTGGGGAACTGTCCGCGTTACCACAGCTCAGACCAAAGGGCACCAAAGTAACTATGAATACAAAATAAATAAGACAAGGCACTATATACTACACACAACAGTAGTTCCTATGCACACATAGTAAGTATTGTGGATAAAGGGTTGAGAAACAGTGTGCAAGTAATAATAAATAAATACTTACTAGTTAATAATGAATCTGTCAGGTTTCGGATAACGTTCACTCCTCTACAAGCTGTTAGATGAAGTGACTGCAAATCAACTGAGCCTCTACTGCCCTCTTCTGCCCACTAATGTTTAACATGACATGAGTTTTACACATGCAGCTACTGCAGACATGAGTAATTCATCACCACATGCATACATATTTTATAGTGATAGTTTTAGTTGCATATGCAAACAGACAAATGATAAGGGGGAAGAGGACATGAGGTAAAACTTTATTAGATAACAGTTGCCATGGTGCTAAACCGGGTTTTGTTTGCCCATTTTGGTTTAACACAAAAACACTGAAGAAATAACGTGAAAGAACCTCGAACAATGTTACTTACAAGAGATAGCAGCAGACCGCAGTGAGTATCAGCATGGTGACAATCACTCTGTAAGAGAACATCGGAGTTTTAAACTCGGTGTTTGTTCCTAAACACATGATTCAGGCCTTCGTCTCGTGATGGTTTAAAAAAGGAAGCTGTATAATTTTAGCACATTTTCCTGACCCTAACTTAAACTTGTGCGTGAAATGCCGCTGAAATTTAGCTTTTTCGCATTGAAAGACGCTTTTAGCTTTACTTAGCTAACTTTTACTCGAACATTGTAACTTGTTTAACTTTACAGTTTACGTTCAGAAAAGTTTTGAAATACGTCAGCGGACAAACAAAACACAATTTGAAACAATTAAATACGAAACTATGTCGGAATTATTAAAATGCACTTTTAATGGAATTATTTAAGTTAGCTGTTTTTAGAAGCTAAACTAAGCTAACGAACTCACCCTCTGTTGGGTCCTTTGGGAATGAACCAGGGCACCACACCGCCAACAAAAGCCCAAAACAAGGTCATCACAGATATGGTGATCGCAAACCTCTGATCCGCCATAGTGAGGGTTTTATTTAAAAACTATGAAAGTCAAACTTTTAAGGTGAGGAAAGTTGAGTAATGTGCCCAGATCGATCTACCCTCTAACGTCTCAGACGAGGCAACGCATGTCACATGACTCGGACAGAAACAGGAAGTAGTTTCAGATGGATCCGTCTAATTGCTGGACTGATTCGATTGCAAAGGTTCACTAAATGTTTTAGAAGTTTGGCTTTGTAATGATTACTTTATTTTTATAACTGGATGTTTTTTTTAAGGATGTAAACGGAGGTGTGAGAGTTCTCCCCCCCCAGAAATGCATTTTCAATTTAAAAAAAAGTATCAACAAAATAAAATTCTGATCATGTTAGACCATGCTTTTGTTTTTGTCTAACCATGAAAGTTTTACATCTGTAGGCACAAGCACTCCTCGGCTTACAATTAACAAAAACTCAAGATTCAAGAGGTTTGCGATCACCACATCTGCTATGACCGTTTTGGGTCATTGTTTCAGATAATTTGACTGAAGATTTCATTTTAAACAGACATGTCCCGTCCCGTCTCTGAAAAGCGTGGACTTCCTCTTGCATGAAGACCGTCAGCCTGGGTCAGGGTTACCCATCAGCCTGTGGCTCCAGCCTCTGGAACCTTTGGCAGCATGGACAGATGCCACGTAACCCAGCATCTTCATAAAGCTCATCAGCAGCAGGTCTAAAATGTCCTGGTAGATAGTGGACTGTGGACATCAGGAGACACAGTGGCCCAAGACCAGATTACATCACCACCAACAGTGGAAACTTCACTCTGGACCACAGACATAATAGACTTTTAGCCTTGGCTGTATGGTCTTTTATGCTTGTGAATCTGCCTTGCTGCTGCAGGACCAACATTCCCCCACCTAGTGATGATAAATTAAATTAGATCTTAAGTTCTATTTATAGTATAATATTCTATAATAAAACAAAGTTTTTGTCTCTCAAACTTTTATCTTTTCCAACCACTTTTTCTTTCAACTTTCTCTGAATAAGCGTGGATACGAGCAACTTCTTTAGCGGTGACCTTTTATGTGGCTTCCCAACATTTAGAGGCCCATGAAACTTTAGCAGGATATGTCTTGATTAGTCGATTATGACGAGCCTCCATAAATTGCATCAATTACACTGAAGTTTGGATTTTCTAATCTGTAATCATCAGAAATCAAAGAAACAGGTCTGAACCGTTTCACTGTTCACTCTGAAATGAGTGATAAAATATTCGGGTTGTCTTGTACCTTTACATGAACAGTACAGGGAGTGCAGAATTATTAGGCAAGTTGTATTTTTGAGGAATCATTTTATTATTGAACAACAACCATGTTCTCAATGAACCCAAAAAACTCATTAATATCAAAGCTGAATGTTTTTGGAAGTAGTTTTTAGTTTTAGCTATTTTAGGGGGATATCTGTGTGTGTGCAGGTGACTATTACTGTGCATAATTATTAGGCAACTTAACAAAAAACAAATATATACCCATTTCATTTATTTATTTTTACCAGTGAAACCAATATAACATCTCCACATTCCCAAATATACATTTCTGACATTCAAAAACAATACAAAAACAAATCAGCGACCAATATAGCCACCTTTCTTTGCAAGGACACTCAAAAGCCTGCCATCCATGGATTCTGTCAGTGTTTTGATCTGTTCACCATCAACATTGCGTGCAGCAGCAACCACAGCCTCCCAGACACTGTTCAGAGAGGTGTACTGTTTTCCCTCCTTGTAAATCTCACATTTGATGATGGACCACAGGTTCTCAATGGGGTTCAGATCAGGTGAACAAGGAGGTCATGTCATTAGATTTTCTTCTTTTATACCCTTTCCTGCCAGCCACACTGTGGAGTACTTGGACGCATGTGATGGAGCATTGTCCTGCATGAAAACCAAGTTTTCTTGAAGGATGCAGACTGCTTCCTGTACCACTGCTTGAAGGTGTCTTCCAGAAACTGATAGTAGGACTGGGAGTTGAGCTTGACTCCATCCTCAACCCGAAAAGGCCCCACAAGCTCATCTTTGATGGTACCAGCCCAAACCAGTACTCCACCTCCACCTTGCTGGCGTCTGAGTCGGACTGGAGCTCTCTGCCCTTTACCAATCCAGCCACGGGCCCTTCCATCTGGCCCATCAAGACTCACTCTTTATTTCATCAGTCCATAAAACCTTAGAAAAATCATTCTGGAGACATTTCTTGGCCCAGTCTTGACGTTTCAGCTTGTGTGTCTTGTTCAGTGGTGGTGGTCTTTCAGCCTTTCTTACCTTGGCCATGTCTCTGAGTATTGCACACCTTGTGCTTTTGGACACTCCAGTGATGTTGCAGCTCTGAAATATGGCCAAACTGGTGGCAAGTGGCATCTTGGCAGCTGCACGCTTGACTTTTCTCAGTTCATGGGCAGTTATTTTGCGCCTTGGTTTGTCCACACGCTTCTTGCGACCCAGTTGACTATTTTAAATGAAACGCTTAATTGTTCGATGATCACGCTTCAGAAGCTTTGCAGTTTTAAGACTGCTGCATCCCTCTGCAAGATATCTCACTATTTTTGACTTTTCTGAGCCTGTCAAGTCCTCCTTTTGACCCATTTTGCCAAAGGACAGGAAGTTGCCTGATAATTATGCACACCTGATATAGGGTGTTGATGTCATTAGACCACACCCCTTCTCATTACAGAGATGCACATCACCTAATATGCTTAATTGGTGGTAGGCTTTCGAGCCTATACAGCTTGGAGTAAGACAACATGCATGAAGAGGATGATGTGGACAAAATACTCATTTGCTTAATAATTCTGCACTCCCTGTACGTTGATGCTCGAGAGTAGCTTTTATTGATCTAGAAGCGTAACAGTTTCAAGCACTTTTAAAACCACAGAAAAATACAAGGTTCTAAGCATCAAGACAGGTTTTCTTTGGCATTTGATTTTGTTTAAAATAATTTACTACTCAATGTAATAATTACAAATTTCTATTCCCTTTAGAAAACCAGCTTATTGATTTGTTTTTGCTAGTAGGGCCATTTAGATTTATGGCTCAAAAAGCTCATCACTGAAAATCAGAGTGGAGATCCGTGACCACTGGGGAGTTCTTTAACTTGCTCTGTTAGTAAAGGATTAGTTTAGTAAAATGCATATATTCAACACCTTAGAATCAGATTTCCTGCTTAAGATATGAAAATATACCTAAAAATTAAATATAATTTTTAGAGACCAAGTCTTGATTTTTTGACAACTTCTACCTTTTGTGCCTTAAGCATGTTTTAAAACTTGTTACCTAATAAGCAGCATATTAAATTTTTCTTTTAACTTTCTGGATTTTGAAACTAGTCATCTGCCTTAAAATCAGAACCAAGTCTTAAATTGATTTTCCATCAACAAATGTACCCTTTTAAAAACTGCAGACAAAATTAGATCCATTTACAGAGTTTATTGATAGCAAAAGATTAATTTCACTCCTGCATCTTCTCAATGGTCTCCTCCTTGTATTTGCCCTTCTCCTTTCCAACAGCGCGAGACTTGGCCTTGCGCTCAAGGATCTTCTTGCGGTCCTTGTCGAGCTTTAGTCTGGTGATGACCACCTGCAGACATGGAGAAAAAAGAGGAGTTGGTAAACAAATGTTTAATTAATAACATTACCAATTAATGCTTTGCCACTATATAGATAGAAATGACTCAGAAGGCTGGTTCGATGTGTGTTCTTACATTTATATTTATAGGTGAGGCCAAAAAAACAAAAAGGACTAAAGATCAAAATAGTCATTTCAACTACATTTCTAACTGCTGAGGATCAACTCAATCCCACAGCCTTACAGATGGACGGTTCGATAAAAAAGCCAGGAAGCAAAAAACAGGCATGAAGTGAGATTTGCCATTTAATCATTTCTTATGCAGCAAGCGTTTGATTCATGGATGGAAATGACGGTAAACTTGGGATTAGAGGTGGTGAGTGCATGAAGAGGTGGAGAAAAAGGGACAAATTTGTCTGTGTTAAAAAGTCTCTGAAATACAAAAAAATAAAATAAAAAAACCCACAATATAGACCTAATCCTGTCTGTAGCAGAGGCCGAACCGAGCCGATTTTTAAACCAAGGTCGAAGCCGATACTGGTTTTGAAAGAATTTTGCTGCAGATGGCCGATATCTAAAGCCGATTAGGCCGATATAATACATTTTAGAAGCACATTGATTGTGAAAGACAAGTGAACACTCACTGTGTGCAATATAAATTAATAAGCCTATACATCTCCTAATATTTATTGAACTTAAAAAAAAGAAGAAGAAAAAAAAGGTGTGTTGGGGTCCTTCGAGTCTTTTCTTCAGTCTAGCAGTGTTGGCAGTAGACCACACAGGTGCCCGTTTTTTTAAATCGGATTTAAAAAATAATTTTGGCCGATATGGAACATTTTTTATATATCGGCCCGATATATCTGTTGCCCTCAGACTCTAGCCCTTTTCATAAAACGCTGCCAATTTGCCACAAAGCATAGCAGCACCAGGCAGCCCTTGCTCATTCATAATTGGTCACAGTGGCTGTAATGTGGCACGATCGCATGCCTTTCACAAGATTATGCAATGTAAATATAAATGTGTGGGGGTGGTCTCCGCATGGCCACAGACGTTCGTTAAGCGTGGTCATATCTTGCTATTTATTTACGGTTGAAGTCGTGCTCCTTGAGTTATTTTCATGAGCTGCTCCACCTCTAAATGGAATTTTGATATATTTTACATTAATTCTAAATATATAATTAAATGAAAGTGTCTGTGGGACATTTGAGACTTGAATCTATATTTTATTATTCTTATGGGAGAATTTGTTCACCTCTCCTTGCTGTGACATCTTGTTTAAGTCACTGCTCTCTGAGGACTTTAGGGGGAGAAGCATGATTGGATCTGTGCTGTTGATTGGTTAGGAGTAAGTAATGAGTGTAGTATTAAGCTACATAACAGGCTATAAAAAAATGGAAACTAGGGTTTCGACGATTATACATTTGATGGTACAATTACAGTCTGAGAAATAATCATGGTTTCACGATAACCACGATTATTTTACATCAATTGATTTCACATCTGTATTAACATAAATCACACACACACATTGTATAAATTATAGATAAAAGGCATGGTT